TCTATCTATCTATCTATCTATCTATCTATCTATCTATCTATCTATCTCCCCAAACCCCTCCTTTCTCTCCTATCTAGTGACAGGGGGTGAAAGGATAGAAGGAAGAGATCAAGATCCTTGGGTCTAATTTCTTTCCTCTTCTTTCTTCTCTGAGTGTGACTACTGACTAACCACAACCAGCCCCCTGAATGACCACCAACCATTCCTGACTCTCGGGGCTCTAGCATTTATATACTCTGAAAAGTTCCCAGAATGCCAAACGTCAGACAATTGCAGTAACTGTCAGCAGCTGGCAAAACCACGCTTCCGCTAGAGCACGAGGCAAATCATAGTTAGCTGCTGCAGACAATCCGAAGCAGCCCCACCCCCCACACCTGGGATTAAAACAATAACACATTCTTTTAACATTTCTGTGTTTTTTTCAGAGACCAAAATTCCAAAATTTTCACTACATTACAGTGCTTGTCTAGCATGTACAAAGCCTTTGTTCCCCAGCACTGGGGGAAAAAGCTGGAGCTGAAGAGATGGCTCAGAAGTTAGGGACACTGGCAGCTCTTCCAGAGGACTCAGGTTTGATTCCCAGCACCTACTCGGCAGCTCACAACTGTGTAACTCCAGTTCCAGGGGATCTAACTCCCTCACACAGACATACAGGCACCAAAACACCAATGCACATAAAATAAGAATAAATAAATCATTTTTTAAAAATAGAAGAAAAAGCCTTCCTTACATTGTACCTTCTAACGTGAAGCTGCCTGGGGCCTGCTGAATTCCCACCCCTGCAAGGCTGAAGCAGAAGGAGAGATGTACAGTGAATATTTGCTATTACTGTGCGGTTTTGTTTGACAGGAAAAGACTAAAGAGGAGTTGGTAAACAGGTAGTCTGTAAAGGCAGGATTAGAAAAAGTAAACCAGCTGTGACGGCACGTCTTTAATCCCAGCACTCGGGAGGCAGAGGTTGGCAGATCTTTCTGAATTGAGGCCAGCCTGATCTACATAGTGAGTTCCAGGCTAGCAAGAGTCCTGCCTCAAAAAATGAAAACTAAAGGGGGCTATAGCCCGTTGGTGCCATGTTCCAGGCAGGTGTCATCTGTGTGGATCTTGGCTCTCCTCTAATAAAAGAGGATCGAGAGGTCCCTCCGGCACAGGTCTGACCAGTACGTCGGGGCTAACCGAAGCACAGGAGATCCTAGGTAGGGCCAGGTTCCGGTGTCCAGCATTGGTCATGAGAGCAACAGGAAACCAAGCACGTGCTGCCCAGGGCGCTCTAAGTCCTGGGTCCCACAATCAAGGAGCCAGGAGTGCTGCCCATGCCTGACGAACCCCACAGTGCTGAGCTCGCTCATGTTTCCACCAAAAATCCCGAAACTTCGGTGGAAAGGCCAGTACGGTGGCCTTCAAAGTCACCAATCCCAAAGCCAGGAGACCACAAAAACTTAGAAGTGGGAGGAGAGGACAGTTAGACCCATATGGAAGGAGGGGACAGACTCCAGAGAGTTGCCTTTTGACCTCCAGGCCATGTGCGCGCACACACACACATTACGCACACAGGTTTTAAGAAATGGATGTGGTCACTGAGACACACTACAGCTTCCTCAACAAGAATGCTTTTTCTTTGGATGGGAGGAGGTTTCAAGAGCAGAGAGCAGATATGAAGGGATGGGGAGATGAGTCGGATTGGTGTGCGTGATGTGAAACTCAAAAAGAATAGAAGTTAAATTTAAAAAAAGAAAGAAATAGATGTAGCAAAATCCTTTAATAGATGAGAGTGATTCAAGAATTTCTTAAGAGCTAAGAACAGAGTCAGGCTGGCTGGCGGCACCTGCCAATAATTCCAGTGCCTGAGGCTGAAGAAGGAGAACTACTCATTCACAGCCAGCCTGGACTATCCGAGTCTGCTTCAGTCTCCCTCCTCCCTCCGAAAGAGCTTTAGGATGGCTGACGGAATGGTCTGGAAATTCAGACTCGCTCTTACCCACCCAAGGCTGGGTGGGCTTCCCAACCTTGTCCTGGGCCACTGAAGTTGAATCAAGGAGGCCTAACTGGTTAAATGGAGTGGAGTAAGTCTAAATACTTACACCTAGCCAGGTGCCACGGCGCACACCTTTGATCCCAGAACTTGGGAGGCAGAGGCAGCTGGGTCTCTGTGAGTTCAAGGCCAGCTTGGGATACATTGCAAGTTTCAGGGCAGCCAGCGTTACAGAGTGACACACTTTACAAAAAGAATACCCACAATCCGGTCCTCACCATCTGACTGGAGCTAGGCAACCCTGGGCAGATCCTTCCCCTCTCTGGAACTGAGCCTTCTGGTACTAAAAGAAAGGTTCGGGCCTAGGCCCAAGGTGCCAGTGGGGCTGGCTGCTCCACAGTCCCTGTTTGGGGCAGTAGATGACCAAAGAGAGTTGTTCCTCTGAGGAAGGAGGCGTACTGACAGCTCAGTAGTCCGTTCCTCATTTCAGGGACAGTGACTAGAACCAATAGGCTACCTTTGTCACAGCCTGTGCACCTCATGAAGGCTTGATGGCTGATGAGGTAGTGGCACCTCCAGCCCAGCAGTGGGGAAGATGAGGAGTTCAAGGCCATCCTCCATTACATAGTGAGTGTGAGACCAGTATGGAGATACATGACCTTGTCTCAAAATGACGATGATGATGATGGTTCGCTAGGTCTGTCCTACCCAGAACGGTCAGGGAAGCCCTCCCTGTGTTCTCTGGAGAGAGCACCTACCTTGATGACATTGTCCTTGCAGTCCACCACGCGTTCAAACGTCTGGCTGAGGATCTCAAGGTCCTTGTGAAGCTCTGTGTTCTTCACCTCTCTGAGGACAGTTCTCCACTGCGTGTTGATCTTGTTAAGGTTCAGGGCGCTGTTGTGTTCTTCCTTGGCCAGCTTGTCCTGTGTGAGGGATAAACGCATGCGTTTTAGCAAAGGCCAAAGAGGTCTACCACAGCAGTCGACAGCAGGCTGAAAAAAAACACCAGTCCTTGTGTATCCCCAAGTACAAAGCTCTTGGCAGCCAACACTCAGGGGGCCCTTTTTGTATTTTCCGGTGAGTCTCCGGATGAAGCGTGAGAACCGAAGTCTTTCTAAGGACCCCACTCCAGACCGAACAGCAGATTTCAAGACAGCTGACCGCGGACTCCTGACAGCACCTACTGTCCTAATGCCGGGACTCGGTGATTCTGCCCATCTCTGTTCCCCGCTCTCCGTGCTTCCCGGAGAGCTCCCTATGCCGAAACCAAGGTTGCCTGAGGCCCATGTATTTTGGGAAGAAGGACTTCAGGGGAGGTCGGAGGTCGGAGGGGAAGAAAATGAGCCAGGCGCACGATCGCAGGCCACGGCGCCAGCGCGCTGGCCGGGGGTTTGGGCAGGGCACACTGCAGAGCCAGCATCACCTTCAAGAACTGGGCGATGAGCCTCTCTTTCTTCTTGGTTGCCTCCTCCTCTGCCAGCATCTTCTGTTGAAACAAAAGCAGCTGTTCCTCATCCGTCAAGGCTACCTTGAACTTTTTCCCTTTCTTAGGCATGGCTGGACGGCGGGCCGGGTCCAGGCGAGGAACCTCCGCCTGGCGCCACGGCCTGCTTGTGAGGAATTAGAAGGAAAAGGCTCTCATAGGCAGGGCATTTCTGGAACTAAGGTAACGGGGCCTTAGCTAGACCTCAGTCCTTCACCAAGGGAGCGCGCGCGAGGGGAAAGATGCGACTTGTTTCCTAGCAACAAGGACCTTCGCTAAGAGCGCGGGATGAGGAATCAGGAGGCCAGCCTGATTTCGAAGCGCCCCCTGTACGCTGGAGGACCGCAGTCAGCGCTGTGAGAAGGCCTTAAAAAAAAAAAAAGTCTATTCTTAAACTCTGTGTATGTACACCACGTGCATGCATGCCTGGTGCCAGCAGAGGCCAGAATGACTGTGTTGGGTCCGGTGAAACAGGTCAAACGCGCGCACGCGCACACACACACACACACACACACCCACACACCACACACACACACGTTCACATAATCATTTCTGTGGGTGGGCTGGTGAGCGGCTCACTGTGTAAGGTTGTTACTGACAAGCCTGGTGAGCAAACCTCTCCTAACAAGGAGAGCAGCCAGGGATGGTGCACGGCTCTAATTCCAGCCCTTGGGAGGCAGTAGCAGGCAGGCAGTTCTCTGAATTTGAGGTCAGCCTGGTCTGCAGAGTGAGTTTCAGGGCTACACCAAAAAACCCTGTATTGGGATGAGTGGGAGGTGGGGTGTAGGAGGTTTTGGGTTTTGGCTATTTATTTATTTATTTATTTATTTATTTATTTATTTATTTATTTATTTATTTTAATGTGTGTGTGTGTGTGTGTGTGTGTGTGTGTGTGTGTGTGTTATCTATCCGAATGTACACCTGCACACCAGAAGAGGGCATCAGGTCCCATTATAGATGGTTGTAAGCCACCATGTGGTTGCTGGGAATTGAACTTAGGACCTGTAGAAGAGCAGACAGTGCTCTTAACCGAAGAGTCATCTCTCCAGTCCCCCCGCCCCCGTTTTTAAGCTATTTTATTGGGTTCTTATATCTACCACCCTTCTCCACCCCAATTCCTTCCAACCCAACACGAGGCTGGCAAGAAGAAAGGTTAGAGGGAAAAGAGGGTGTAGACCTCTTTAGACTACTTCCTGCTGATTAGGGGCACTGGGTTCCTAGGCATAAGTCCAACCTTCATCGTCAGAATATCCAGCAAACCAGCACTTCAGCAAAAGCAACAGCAAAGGTGGCAGCAGGAACCAGCAGCAGCAGGAGTGTGCTGGCTGCCACAGGCCCTCTCAGAGCTCTCCCCCTCACCCCCTCTCCAGAGGCCCCAGCATTATCTGCAGCTGGCAAAATTCACACCCCTCTCAGAGCAGGAGACAACCACAGTTAACGGTGGTGGACAAACTGAAGCAGCCCCATCCCCACACCTGGGATTAAAGCCAAAACATCCACATAACCAGGTTTTTAAAGAAACCAAAATTCTCACTACAGCAGGACCACTGGGAAGTGATGAGGTTTAGGCTATCATGAAGGTGTGCTGCCTTGACCGGATTAGTGTCCTGAGAAGAGAAAGAGACTGGACTGGGAGATGGTGGCTCAGTGCTTAAGATTTAAGATTTATTTATTTATTATGTATACGGTGTTCTGCCTGCAGGCCAGAAGAGGGCACAAGCTCTCATTATAGATGGTTATGAGCCACCATGTGGTTGCTGGGAATTGAATTCAGATCCTCTGAAGAGCAGCCAGTGTTCTCAACCTCTGAGCCATCTCTCCAGCCTCCAGCACTGTATTCTTAGACTTCCTGTCTCAAGCCTGTAAGCAATAAGTGGTTGCTGTTTAAGACACACTGTATCTCTTATTCTGTGAACTAAGCTAGTTATTCTTTGTCAGGGGAGAGGAGATTAATAGTACATACACAAAAAGGGTCACTGTGGAATAGTGAAAATGCTCTAAAACTGTTATGTTGTACAGCTTGATATGTTTAGTGGCCTTAAAATAAGATTTATATTCTTTCTCTCTCTCTCTCTCTCTCTCTCTCTCTCTCTCTCTCTGTATGTGTGTGTGTGTGTGTGCGTGTGTGTGTGTGTGTGTGTGTGTGTGTGTGTGTGTGTGCAGGTACCTTCAGAGGCCAGAAGAGGGCACTGAGTCCCTTGTAGCAGGAGTCACCAGTGTTTGTGAGCCACCTGTGTGTATGGAGGACTGAACTGGTTGGTCCTCTGGAAGAGCAGCAAGATCTCTCCAGCCTGATCAATTTGGTTTGAAAAGTCATTGAAGGTGGGAGCGGTGGCGCGCACCTTTGATCTCAGCACTCAAGAGGCAGAGGCAGGTGGATCTCCGTGAATTTGAGGCCAGCCTGGTCTATATAAGACCAGCCAGGGCTGTTCTGGCAACAAACGAAACAATAAAAAGCCATTTCAGAGCCAGAGCAATGGCTAGTGGATGTGTTGCTCTGGGAAAGGATTCTGGTCGGGCTCCTTTGTACCACATGGCAGTGCTAACTCCAGGTCCCAGGGATCTGATGTCCCTTTCTACTCCCCCCGCCCCCAGCGCTGCCTGCATGGGGTATACATATATGCGTGCAGGCAAAACACTCATACGTGTAAAAATTAGTTCATCATCATTTTGTTTGTTGGTTTGGGAGGGTTCTATGCAGTCTGGGCTAGCCTGGAGCCTGCTACGTAGACAAGTCTAGCCTTGGATGCACAGAGACCTGCCTGTCTCTGCCTCTCGAGTACCGTGATAGAAGGTGTGCACCATCATGCCTGTATTCTTGTATACAAACATTTAGAGCAAAACGTGGCAGCCATTCCTACAGTCCTCTGTTCTCCACAGGTCTTATGGTCGGAGTCGGCTGGATAGTGGGTGCTGCCACTTCTCCCAACCCTAGCCCCACCCCACCCCAGCCTCACATATTTCGGTTTCTTTTTTGAGGCAGGCTCTCTCATAACCCCCGCTGGCCTTCTTACGTAGCCAAGGAGATCCTTGAACTCCTGGTCTTGCTGCCTCCATCCCCCAAGTACTAGGTCATTTCTAGCCCTTGATTTCTTGATTGTTTGTTTGTTTGTTTTTCTTTTTTGGACTTTTTGCAACAATGTTTTTCTGTGTAGCCTTGGCTGTCCTGTCTCAGCCTCCCAAGTGCTGGGATTAAAGGCGTGTACCACCACTGCCAGCTGCATTTCTTTTTATTTTTTATTTTTATTTTTTGGAGACAGGGTTTCTCTGTGTAGCCTTGTCTGTTCTGGACTTGCTTTGTAGACCAGGCTAGCCTTGAACTCACAGAGATCTGCCCGCCTCTTCGTTCCAGGGTGCTGGGATTACAGAAGTGCGGCAGGCAGAGCTCCCGGCCTGCTGGGGAATCTCGACTCAGCTCTGCAAGGTATAGCCACTTCCCTGGCATTGTAACGGTGTCTTCAACAGACCAGAGAGGCCCTATGAAGCTGGCAGCTCGAATTGTTAGGCCCCGTTGACGGCCAGTGCATGCCACATGTGATACTAAAATGGGGTGTTTTCAATCAATTTCATTCATCTTTGGTTATATTCAGTATAATGTTCAGTAAACAAATATATCATGTCCCTGAATATGTTTTCTCACAAATTTAAAAATTTTAGTGAAGCCAATTCCAGTGAATTTCTTAAATTTCTCTTTTTAACAATCTTTTTATTTATTACAATTTATTCACTTTGTATCCCAACTATGCCCCTTCTTTGTCCTCTCCCAACCCCTCCCTCCTTCCCTCCCTCCCTCTTCTCCTCCCATGCCCCTCCCCTAGTCCACTGATAAAGAAGGTCCTCTTCCCCTTCTTGCCCACTTTTATAGTAAGTTTTATGTTCATTAGTTTCGTAGTTGTTCATTTTCTCTTTTCTTACTCCTTTTTCATCATTTGCTTTACTATTGATTTATGTTTATTGATTTATGTTTTATTCGACCTCCGAATGTGCGGAGGTCGGAGGTCAACTTGCAACCCGCCTTTCTATCCTTTTTCCTCAAGAATTGGACCCAGGGCCTGAGTGTGCTAGGCCACACCATTGAGCTACATCGTCGTCATCCCTCATCTCATAATCTGATTGCAGGTTCTTTGCCAGCGTCTGTCCCAACTTTTTCTTCTGGTCTAAAGCTTTTCTGTAAACCCCTGTGTATTTTATGTGTTGCCAAACTGCTCAGGGTGAAGGTCAGAGGGCAGCTGTTGGGAGTCATCCCGGGCTTGATCCCAGGTGCTCAGGCTTGGTCGCAAATGCCTTCTCCCCACTAAGCCGTCAACCCGGCCCCTCAGTTAGCCCTTCTCTTCCTTTTTCTCAGTGTTAACTACAATTTTTAACTCACATGTCACCTGAGCCTTCCTTTCCTCACTTTTTCCCTTTGTGTGCTTTGGATGGAGCTCAGGTCTGTGTGGCAACCACCAGGTCAGTCTGGAACCCAATCGTGGCTGCTTCTGATTAGCGTTTGAGGAGCAGTTTATCTTAGTGTCTTTAATGGTGGTTCCTACCCTGTTTCCTAAAGCCCCATTGTTCTATTTTTTTCATATTCATACCTAAAATTTGATGTTTGACCTTGTGGGTCGGTCTGTGCCTTGGGGGTGTTTCCTCACTGCTCTGAATTATTCCCTCCATCAGGAATCAAGACTCCATAAATGACCGGGTTTGTGTTTAAGTTCTTGTTTCTGTTCCACAGAGCTATCTGGTTATTCTTGTGCTAACAGCACACCATCTCCGTTATTTATTACAGACTATTTATTATAGTTCTTGGTGCAAGCTAGACCAAGAACCCAGCCTTGTTCCTCTCAGAGAGCATCTTGCTTATCTGTGGGCCTTGCATTTCTGCACAAATTCATGCACCAGCTTGTTTGTTTCCAAGCTGCTGGGGTTCGAAGGGAACTGCAGCGAGTTTCTAGGTTAGTTTCTGAGGCCGAGTCTTCCAGCTCAAACTCATTAGGCATTCCTCCACTTAGGCCCCCCATAATTTCTCCTAATATTGTCATAAGTTAGGGCTAGTGGAACGCATCTTTAAGCCCAGCACCTGGGAAGTGGAGGCAGGAGACCAGCATAAAACACAGACAAAGTTCAAAGCTATCCTGGGCTACATGAAACCCTGTGTCAAAAACAAAATGAACGTACAAATGTGTGGTATGTGTATGATATAGCTATGTAACTATAGCGATATCACCACAGGGGGTTGCTGTGGAACTCTCATTGGCCTGGAATAC